ATCGCAAAAAATAATGACTCATTCAATGATTAGGAACTCCTTTTCCCCTGATTTCTATCAACATTACAAACAACATAACGTTTCGATAGAGACTAGGAGTCCGAGAGACTTATATCCAAGTGTTACAGACTCTCTAATTATAAGCAGATTTACAGGCATTTCAATGTTTAATGGTTTTGTGGGTTTTGCGAGAGAAGTGCCTACTTATAGACTCATTCAATGTTTACTTAATTAGTAATTATAATAATATACGATTAGTTATCAAACACTTTTCAATACATGATTACCACTCGATATGTGTATATAATGTTCATTTGATGGGAAAAGTTTTTCACTCATTTTTGGCAACCATTTCCTCAGCGATACTCTGGTTATAGTCGTCTGATAACTAAAATCTTAAAAAAGTTATTACAAAAGTTTATTCAATCGTAGGAAAAATGAAATGTTTCTATGAATTGATTGATATAATGGATGAACAGGTGGATTGTGATTTTTGTGACATTTGTGGTCAAAATATCTCATCATTTTATGGACACATCTGCTTAGAAGAGTTGCGCTCAAGACTTATATACATTGGCAGACAATACAGCGATTTGTATGAAGTAAATGACAATCATTTTCATCAAACTAGTGATACTTCTGCCAAATATAAGCATAAATTGTTTGATAAACAACCAATTGATGTAAGTTTTTAAATTACTGTTAACTTTTAGTTTGCAAACTTTTTTAGTAAGTTTTTATTATATTTTATCCATAGCTTCACAAAACATGGATTAATAAACTGTTTCACTCATTCATAACTAGGATTACGTATACTTTTAAATCAAATAAATACTCTAATCATTGAATTACAAATAATAATATTATATAATAAATTATATTTTTAACTATTTTTAGTTTCTTACTTAAATGAAATCGTTTTATAATGTTTACATAATATTTTAAAATATATTCTTTGAATTAAAGATATAATCACAAAGAGAAACACGTATTAAACACAATCATATAAGTGCCTAATAAATTAGTGACCAATATAATTTTAATTTAATAAAACTTTTGTATATTTACTTATCAGCAAATAAATAGCGTTTAACTTGTGATTCAATTTTGGATTATCTAATTCCCACTTTTGGTTAACCAGATTCACTTTTATATACCATTTTCACAAATAAATAACAATTTTTTGTCCGAAAAATCAATTGTTTTTTATTAATCTTATTCGTCATATGAGATCAAACAAACATTACATTCATTTTTATAATTGTCTATCAATTTATGGTTAATTATTGTACTGTACATAAACAGAGAATAATTATATCATTGTATTGACACTAAAACCAATTTAAGTACATTGATGAAATACAATGAAATGTTGGGTTTGTATTTTTTGTTTCAATTAAAATCCATAAAAACAGTAAATTCAAGGGTAATGTATTTTTTGATTTAAATGTCAAATAAAGTATTGAAATAATTACAGATTTAAATGACATTACATTTAACTTTATAAACTTATGTTAATCGCATGCAAATGAATATAAAGTTACGATTCANTTGTTGTTTAAATTAAAATCCATAAAAACAGTGATTTAAATGTCAAATAAAGTATTGAAATAATTACAGATTTAAATGACATTACATTTAACTTTATAAACTTATGTTAATCGCATGCAAATGAATATAAAGTTACGATTCATTGTTTTATGGAGAGAGAGAGAGAGAGAGAGAGAGAGAGAGAGAGAGATTTATGTATATACTTAACACATCATTTATCGATATATTTATAAATTAATTACAATTTGTTTAAATGATTTTAATACAGTATTTGTAAATGTGTTTCAATTGTCAAATTGTATTAATACCCTGTGTTTTGCTTCAGAATCATTTCAATTTTATTGAATTAATAATTCAATTCAATTAATGATTGCTCCAAAAGAGTCAATAAATAATAATTAAAAATTAAACAAAATTTGTCTCTAAATAACATATTACATTAAAAACGTAACAAAAAATGATTGAAATAAATAAACTTAAAAAACAAAGTATTATTTCTTACAATAAATAGTGATATTTATTCCTAAAATAAATATTCCGTTTATTAAGTGTCAAAAAAGTTAAATACTCGTGTCCAAAAAAGTGATTTATGTTTAAAATTATATTGCATTCAGTAGTCCAGGTATTCTCACTGTTATCCAGGTATCCAGAAAACAGCATCGGGTTTACATTGATATATAAAATTACATTGCTCAGCCCTGTTATATGACATTCCACTTTCACCGGACAAACTTGATAATCATAATCATATGTCAATTAAATAAAAATATGGTATATGCTTTGGTAGTTAAGAATTATATTGATACAAACAAAAAATAATGACAAAACTCTAAATATATTATAGTTTAAGTATACTTTATACAAATCAAACATTAATACCAATAATAATAACAAGAAATCGATGATTAGCTGAAGACTAGATTTGTTATGTCGTGTGAAAAAATGACAATTTTTTTGTTCAGATAATGAGATAAGATTGCAAATTGAGATGAGGTTTATGTACTGTATATAAGAAGTATCTACTGACAAGAAAACATCATAACATTGAGACTTGTTTTGGTTTTTGCTCTTTAAAAGCAATTTTATGCACAAATAATTTTTAGGCCCAAAAATTGTGGGCCTTTTTTGTCACAATAGATATGAGAAGATATCGAAAAACGATGAAATGTCTTATGAAAAGAAGCCTAAAATGTTTTCTAATAAGAAATCTTAAATTATTTTGTCACTATTGTGTATTTTTTGGTTTAAGTAATTTGTTTCCAATGAAATGGACTTAAAAATTATTACATAACTAGTATTCACAATTAAAGTTTCACTGAAAAATCATTGATTCTTTCAAATATATTTATCACAATTTTGGTGTAAAAACAAATGATTATTTTTGTTGTCTCTCAAATTGATTATTGACTATGTCCTCGATATAATTGGGGTTCATTTGAAAAAATGCTTTTTTATGATTCAATTAATCGATGCGACAAAACAAATAGTTAAACAAATTGTAGTCTAATTGTAAGTAATGTGAGTTCAAGACTAGAGTCAGAATTGAAAGAAGACTTTGAAATATATTTCAATTCTACACAGAATTTTCAATAATTAATAACAATTATATGCATAATATATGTATAGAATATATCGAGAGTCTAAGTGCGAACCCAACCGGGAGTTGGTTGTGGCCTAAAATAGACACAAAAAACAATATATGAGACAATTTAGCGAAAAGTTAACAAAAGAAAGCAAATAAAGCGATGATTACATGGAAACGGGAAAGTCCTGTAACGCCTGTCTGACGGACGAGAATATGTTACGGTTCTCCTCCTTATAGCTCTCAACGCAAAGTTGTTGTAATTTATTTAAATACGAATCAAAATTATCTACATTTGGCTTCTCGTCCGTAAAGTTAGGGATTCGGCACTGATCTAAGAAAGTGATGAAATTATTGCGCAAAGACTCGTAATAGTCGTTCAGTTGGGCCGTCCGTTGTGCCAGCGATTGGTTCTCCTATGAAACACACAAATCAAACCATTAGTTTAGTCCACATTTGGTGTGAATTAAGTGTTCAGAAGATGTTTGCATTACTCGCTCAGAGCTCTTCACTTGTTCCTCCATGTGATTGATGTCGAGCTTGAGTTTCAACATTTCCGACTCCACTTTGGAGTTGTATTCCTGTAATTCTGTGATCTCGTCGTCCAAAACGCGCATATCTTCGTGAGTATTGTCTAACGCCATCCCCGGGTGCACTGAATGCTCGTAATGGCCGTTATATGCCATCTGATTATGCGGCGAGAAATTAGTGATGTTTATCGTATTCGTCAAATCGTCTAATTTATTGATCGGTGTCTTAGTCTTGAAGACAGTGGAAGCGTTAGCGCGCGGACAACCAGATAGGCTCCGGTGTGTGAGAAAACTGCCGGTCGCGTGACCACTACCGTCACAACCTTTTCATTGTATCAAATGATTAGTTAAACTGGTCTTCAAAATCATGTGACTTAATCGCTTACCAGGTGTGGGACACATCGGACCATCAGTTTTACTGACTTGAGGTCTGAGTGTTCTCTCTGAGAGCCTTTCCTCTTCCATACTGTGTTGAGACATGTCTTGAGATAGTGAGTCGGATCTCATTTTGTTGCGATTGGCCACTGGACAACCAGAGGCACTGTATGGTCAGTAGATAATCCCAATTAAGTTATTATTCAAATTATTTTCCATAAAAACTTGTTAACAAAAGGCGTTTGTTTTTTTGGATTAAAAAGCAAATCAAAAGCAAATAAAAATATTAACTACAAAAAATAGATGACAAAAAATCTCAATTTTGAAATATTAATTTGAAATTAATGTTTTGAATGATTAGGATTACAACGAAAAAAATTAATATACAATTCAAACAGAGATTTGAATTTAGAGATGAATTCACAAAACAAATTGGATTTTGTTTGGATAATTTGCTTCATATGAATAAAGCATTCAATATTCATCTCAATTACTACCTTCTATGAGACGTGAATTTGCCAGTTATATGACCCGATCCATCACATGTGGGCACTGGACAACTGTTTGGCCAGTTATGCAGATTATGGCACATACAGTATATACAGTATATGGCAGCGAATAGGAAAGAATAATACAGAAAAACGTTTCGTTTAATTATAGAGTAAACACCAATCATTCAAATCAAATCAATTAATAATCAATTGGTTGTGTAATCGCTTCACAACTAACGCTTAAATGGCAAAACAAATTCAAAAAGCATTGTATTGCGGAAATGTATGCAAACTCTTACCGGAAGGGTTCGGCCTCTGATTGCTTCTCAATCTCGCGAACGACAGTTCCCTTCTTTGATTGCTTACTCCGCGGACAACCGCTGAGACTCCGATGACTCGTGTAATTGCCAGTGATATGTCCCGAACCATCGCAGCCCACCGTCGGACACTTGAGCTCCTGGTGCTGGGCCTGCACTACAGACCTATCGGCGTGCGGACAACCAGACAGACTGGTGTGACAGACAATAGGAGGTGGCACCTTTAGCCTTGAGTCTACTAATAGGCGGCAGTCATACCTTCGGTGAGTGGCATAGTTGCCCGATATATGGCCCATACCGTCGCAGCCTATGGTCGGGCACTGCAACAGCTCTCTCCCGTCCCTAACTCTGGACAGCGATTGTCGCATCATTTTGTTGGGCGGACCGCCGTCGCCGCAGTCGCTGTAGTCGTCGGTATTACTGTAGGAGCGGAGACTCGACGAGCCCTCCGGCGATGGGCTCCTCAGCGGGAGATAACTTAAAAGCGATGAGTTGTTGGCGTTATTGTTGGCATTGGAAGTGTTGGGCGAGAGTGGCGTCAAATGGGACACAGAGTTGGGTGAGTGATGTGCGAGTTGTTGGCCGGTCGGTGGCGAACCCGACGTCGACTCGTGTTTCACACAAAGGGATTGTTGTGAGGTATGGGTGGCCGACGAGAAGTCCAAGGGCTCTGATAGTGGACTCGACTCGCGGTAATCGATGACAGCGTTTGAACGCTTCGTATAACGACTGGACAAACGATATTCAATGCAATGTATTATTTCATATACTATTCAATGTAGAGATGGACTCATACCAGGATTCAGTCATTTTATTGGCACCGATGGGCACATCCATTGACGATGAGTCTGAATCGTCGCTTTTGGTGGACAGGTCCAGGACTGAGGAGTTCCGTCGATGAGCTGTTGAGGCGACCATTTGACACGAATCGTAGGTGTGTTCGGACCTAATTGAGAGTCATTTATTAGACAATTACCTCATGAGTGGCCTATAGTGTGGTCTATAACTCACTTGTAATTGTGTGGCCTCTGGTCTAAAACGGATGAGTCGTGTGTCTCGTTAGCCCTCTCTCTGAAAGCGTTTGTGTTATGGATATTGTGTTCATTTGATAGCATTTTTGGTGGTTTAGCCATCAATGGCCTACAATATGGGGCTCCAGTATTGGGTGGAACGCCGGCACTACTCAATGGATATTCAGCCTCCGTCTGGGGTTTACTATATTTCTCGAGCTCTTTGGCCAGATTAGTGCGGGGAGTGGCATAACTGGCCGATTGGCCCGAATTGTATTTGCCCGGGAGGTCCAGCTGTTTGACGAAACACATGGGTCTCAGCACTCGGTCCGATGTTGTCATTACCGATGAACAGATCGCCTGCGGAGCCGGCGATGTGGTCGGTGTCACTGATGGCAGACATGTGGGAACAGCTATTTTGGGGGTCTTGTCCTTGTGACACATTTTCTCCATAGCAGCCAATGGACAGCCCGACAGACTGATCGCCAAAGTAGTCATATTAGCAAACATTCATATATTAATTGTATTTTAAACTATACTAACCTTCGGTGAGAATTGCGGGATGAGTTTACATGTCCCCTACCATTACATCCCGGTGTCGGACACCTAATTAAATTAATAATTATATTTTTGTCTATTCGTAATTGATTTGAAAAATCAAGTCAATTTAAAACTTACTTAAGTATTGTCTCGTGTAAAGCCAGTACTGAAAGTTTTTATCAAAAAATAGGTTTTACTCCAAAATACGATAATACTATTTATAGTAAAATAAGACTTACTTTCAGGTGTTATTTGACTCTTCCGGGGACAACCAGATAAGCTTCGGTGGTGTGAGTATAGGCCAGTCGAATGACCGGAACCGTTACATCCAGGTGTCGGACACTTTGTATCGCCTATTAAATATAAATTATAAATCCCATTATAATTGAATTTCAATTTTCAAAATAAGTTATAAAATACAGATTGTGTACACAATATGTCAATAGTTGTCAGATTGAAAAGATATTTATTACTTTCTAATTGATTCATTGCAAATAACTTGTGTTGAATAATAATCTTGAGATTATTGTAAGAAATATGTTAGACAATTAACTCAACAGATTTATATCTCACAAGTTTAGCATTAATTGCAAACTAAATGACAATCATATGAAACTAACTCACTTATGAATGCAATTATGAGCAAGCAATATGAAATTAAAAGATTTCATGACTAACATGTAAGTGATATAAATGTCCCTTACTATTGGGTGAGCCAGACTTTTCTTAAGCAATTCAAATAAAATATTACTTTAAGTTTTCATTAATGAAACTTAAAATAAATTGTAGATTATAGAAAGTTACTGTTTAAAATAGAAATCACTTTTTTGAATAACTATTATGATTATAGATTTATAGACCTATAGTTAGGCCTTAACTATAACTATGGGAAAAGTAAGATTAAATGTACCATATTTTGAAAACTTTTATATTTATTTGATATGTGTTGTACCATATTTAAGAGGTTGCAAAAAGTTGACAAATAATAGCGACACATTAATTATTTCTATCATACATAGTTAATAATTGTATCGTTTATTTAATGTAAATTTAATATAATTATATCTTTGAATACAAATTCACAAAACATTAAACTATAATAATTGAAGGAAATAGTCTATAAACGAGATTGAATTAAAACAGTGATATCGTTATATAATCCTTTAATATTTAGTGAGAATGCATAACCCTTTTAACACACTTTTATTATCTAACAATTTCTGAACTAAAAAACAGATAAATATTTTTTGCAGCAAAATGAAGAACAAAAGATTGCAAATACAATACAATAGGTTTTAAATTTAGAAATCGCATTAAAATACTATTAGTTTTATAAAAGTAAGCTAAATATGCGCTACCATTATATACTGTATGTTAGAAATGTGTTTGTATTGCATATTAGACTGGAATAAAGAGTTAGTGAATCACACAAAACACTATAGAAAGGGACAGGCATTAGGACAGGCTGTTAGGAAATTAATGTTTTATTAAAGGATCAAATGATCGCAAAATGAGATAATATTTTTGATAATAAAAATATTTTACAGTTAGAGCTCAAAGAGTTAAATATATAATATTAAAACTAAATAACAGTTCATTAATTCAGAGTTCACACAACAAAATGAGTTTTTGCATATTTTTAATGATAACGAAAAATATTGTGTGTAAAACAGATAAACTTCTCTCTCTCTCTCTCTCCCATACAATACAACACAACAACACTGTTTGTAAAGTTAACTCTTTAATGACTTATTTTATGTGTGAAATCATGTCTGAAATGAACGATAACTATGAATAGGAGTCAAAAG